CGGGCAGCCGCTGCAGCACCATGTGTCCGGAACGTTTCCTCCGGGATGGGACAGCCCTGGGTCAGCTTTGCAGAGCCGCCGAGGAAATTCGGGGAGGACGGGGCTGCTGGCAGAAACCCAATTCGTGGCTGCGTCGTTTCCCTCGTGTTGTCGTGCCCTCAGCCCACGGGTTCTCACCCAGCCCTGCCGAGACTGTGCCATGCTCCGGTGATGTGGCACAGGCTCCTCCAGGGACACATCACATCTCTTGTGACCCCCTGGCCAAGCCCACACCCCACGGCGGCACGGAGGTGCCTTGAGCCTTGCGGGCGCCGCTGTCATGAGCTTAATTACTGTCATTACACTGGGAATTAGTGCCCAGCCCAGGGGCTCGTTTAGATTTTGACCGGTTTATTGTTTCCTGTCCAGGAGGGTGGCAGGGAGGGAAGAGCTGGTCCTGGTGGCATCTCTGGGTGCTGGGACCCAGCGGTGAGGCTGGGGGTGCCCTGCGCTGGTCTCCCTTCCAATGTCCATGTGTCTGTCCACAGGGAAGTCCCACCTGGCCATTGTGCAGAAGGTGAACAATGAGGGTGAGGGAGACCCCTTCTACGAGGTGCTGGGGCTGGTGACGCTGGAGGATGTCATCGAGGAGATCATCAAGTCGGAGATCCTGGACGAGTCGGATACGTACAGTAGGTTTTGGGCTTGGTCCCTCTCCCCTCCTCCGTCGTGTGCCGGGGTTCCACCTGCCCCCCTGACACCCTGCTCCCCACAGCCGACAACCGCAGCAAGAAGCGGGTGGGCAACCAGAAGAACAAGCGGGACTTCTCGGCCTTCAAGGACCCCGTCAACGAGCTGAAGGTGAAGGTTTCCCCGCAGCTGCTGCTGGCTGCTCACCGCTTCCTCTCCACGGGTGAGTGGTTTTTTGGGGGGAAGCCTCCCACGGCTCAGTCCGGCTGCGGAGCGCCAGCTCCGACGACTCCCCAGCACTGACCCAGTTGGGCTCAGTGTGCTGCCATGGCCCTGGCAGCCCACGGGCTCCGCTCCTGTCCCCGCCGCTGAGGGAGAGTCACTCCAACCATCTCGTTCAGAAATTATGGGGCATTTGCATCTTGTCTCGCCCTCCTCCCCTCTGTCCCCCCCCTCAAAATGAGAAGGGACAAGGCTCAGGGATGCCAGCACTGCCTCTGACGCTCGGCAGGGCCCTGTCCCTCCTGGATGGTCCCGTTCCCTGGCTGGCACGTGTGTCCCCAAAGCTGGTCCTGGGGCTGGACCCCTGGGCTTCTGCCCCCGGGGAGGCGTCAGCGGGGCCCAGCCTCATCCAGGCCCCCCCCGGGGGTCTGGGAGGGACACACCTTCATCTGGAGGGACTAGAGAGAGACAAGGACTGCAGCTCTGAACCCCCTTGCCCTCTTGCTCTCAGAGGTGACGCTTTTCACCCCCAACTTCATCTCGGAGAAGATCCTGCTGCGGCTCCTCAAATATTCCAACGTCATCCAGGAGCTAAAGTTTGACGAGGAGAACAAGAAAGCCCCACGCCACTTCCTCTACTGCAAGAACAAGGCGGCCGACTACTTCATCCTCATCCTGCAGGTACCCGGGCACGGGGTGGCAGCATCAGCCACGCACGTGGGGTCCCTTGGGTGAACCGTCACCCCAGAAAGGCTGTGATGGGAAAAGGAGGGGTCTCATCCAGTCCAGCACCACAGGATGTGGCTTAGAGAGTCTGACACCATCTCTCCCTTGCAGGGCAAGGTGGAGGTGGAGGCCGGCAAGGAATGCATGAAGTTTGAAGCAGGAGCTTTCTCCTATTACGGGGTGATGGCCCTCAGCCCCTCTCCTGTATCCGGTAAGCACCCCCCGATCGCCTGGGTGCCAGCCTGAGCAGAGCCCTCCCACCCTCTTTTAGAACTGCCAGTGGGAATAGGAGATGCTGGAGGCCCCGAGCCCCCGCCGGTGCCCCCCGAGCTGTCCTGGGGGTCTGCGTGGCCAGCACTTCTCCTCAGGGAGACACCTGAGCATATCTGGCAGCAGGCAGAGGGTCCATGCCCCAACCAGAGGCTGAAAACCCGCTGCCCCGATTTCGGGCTTCCCTCCCGTCGCTGCCAGGCTCTGCGAGCGGCCGGATGCCAACCCTCGTGGCACGGCATGGCGTCGGGCGGTCACCAGCGCCCG